TATTTATTTATGTATATGTACGGCATCAAATTGCTGCATTTTGTGAGCTGCTCTGAGTGCCCTTTCTGGGGTGAAAAGCGTGGGATATAAATGTAGTAAATAAATAAATAATATACATAGGACAGAGCAAGAAGGCAGAAGGCTAATAGCAGGGATGGATGGAGATGTAGGGAGCTTACCCCAGACGACAAGCTCAGCAGAGGCTTCATCGACTCCACGGGAGTTGGTGGCCAGGCAAGTGTAGCTGCCTGCATCTGAGATCCGTGCAGGGCTGATGAGGAGGCTTCCTGACTCCAGCAGTGTAAAACGAGGAAGCTGGATTGAGCCACTGGCCAGGATTCGTTCGCCTGAACAAGAAAGAGACAGGTGATGTTTTTGGGCCGCCAATGTTCCCAGTCACTGCTGTCTAAACAATACCCCTCACCCCCATCTCTGGAAAAGAAACAGAAAGCTGGGCTAAAAGACAAGGAAATGGAGTTTTGAGGTGGGTTCCTTCTTCATTTTGATTTGCATTCCTGATTTGTTTGTGTATTCCTGAATGGTAAGTGGTTAAATTAGATGGCCCTTATAGTCTCTTCCACTTCTATGATTCATATACGTTTATCGATCCCAATTATACCTATACCTTTAGGAATTCAGAGGCCCTATGGGAAAATAGTCAATTCCAGAACTAATCAAGGGACATTTTGATTTGACTTTTTGTTGGCTGGGAATGGACAGGTATGAAGGGATGAAGGGAGCTCAGCATCTTTGCATGAAGTTAAGTTTTTGCATAACAGAGACTTAGGTCAAATTTGAAGTGTATTGGGATTAGGGAAGCAAGGCTAGATTGGGGTCAGTTCAGAAACATTACATCCTCTGATCTTTTAGAACAGGGGTTTTCAAACTAAGGCCCGTGGACCAGATGTAGCCCTCCAAGGTCATTTACTTGGCCCCTGGTCTAAACTTTAGACTTAGGGTCACCCTAAGTCTGAAACAACTTCAAGTCACACAACAACAACAACAATCTGAATTAACTTAACTATCTGATCAGCCAAGAGCAGGCCCATTGAAATACTGGTAAGTTTATGTTGATTAAAATTGTTAATCATTTGAAATACTATATGGTTCTTTCATATTTTTTGCAGTACAATATATCTGCAGTGTGCATGTCCATGTTTTTCTCAAAACATAGTCTGGCCCCGCAACAGTCTGAGGCACAGTGAACTGGCCCTCCGCTTTAAAAGTTTGAGAGCCCCTGCCTTAGACTTTCACTTTAGATATTTTACTGACTATGCTCCAAATAAATGTTCATTTCTCAGATTTTACATGGACTACTCCTCTTCCTCTGCCTTTTAAAAGCAAGCACTGGACCTTCATCAAAGAAAGAGAAGCCTAGTGGCAATCATTTGCAGTTTTGCTGGATATGTGAGGAAACAATGCTTAGGTGAATTTGAATAGGCCACAGGCTGTATAACTAGGACAGACTGAACCAAAACCAGGGCCACTATTTTTGTCACTTTGGTCCCCACAGCCATGACACACTATGGCAAATGTTGAACAGATGGTCTGATATCAGATATGAGTAATTCTTTGACAGTTTTTAATCAAGGAGTGCTGTTCCACCAGGTTGTTCATTCATCATCTCCATGTTCTGACTACATAAAGAATGGAATTGGGACACTGCTGTTAGATGACTAAGGTTGCCATCCACTGAAAGAGAGTCTTGCTAGTACCTATCAACAATTCTTCCAGTGTTTTGATGTTTAGTCACCACTGCTCCTTTGCCTTCAAGGTTCTATTTCCTTTCTCTTACATTAGAGCGTAATTCTGGAAATAACTCAACTTTTAGGTAGGATGAAATATTTTGATTGTGGAAGTAGGAGATGACTTTCTGCAAGGAATCTAACCCAGTTAGTCAGCCTGACATTGATAACAGGCAACGTGAGTTCATAGTTTCTATGGCATTCTGGAGCTTTGACAAATATAGCACACCGTAGAGAAGTGGTTCCCAATATGTGTTTTGGCTTTCAACTCCCAGAAATCTTAACAGCTGGTAAAATGGCTGGGATTTCTGGAGGTTGTAGGCCAAAACACCTGGGGACCCACAGGTTGAGGACCACTGCTCCAGATGCAAGCATCATATCCCTAGTCACAATGGCCAAATGGGTTGATGGTCAGGATGGGAGCTGTAGTTCAAAATACCTACTGAGTGCCACATCAATTAATATTATGACAACACATTTTCTATATTATGGCATTAAACATACACAATTGCCTTATACTATGACTGATCATTGGTATCTGTATTGTTTATTTGACCGTCAAAGGCTTGAGATCCTTTGTTAAAAACCACAATAGCAAGAGTCAAGGATTTAATCTGGTATCTTCAGCATGCAAGGCATATGTTCTGCCCATTGGTGAGATCTTGCTTCCAAGATGGTTGATACAAAAACCTTTTTTTTTAAAGGGAGGGGAAGAGTTTTTTGACTCACCATTACCTTTCTGCCAGGTGATAGCTGGCCTGGGAGCCCCTGAGGTCTCACAGTTGAGCACCACTGCCATTCCATCAATCACTGTGCTGTCCAGAGGTCCTTTGGTTATGTTAGGGGCAATACCTATTATTATGGGGGAGAGATGGACAAAGCAAAAAGTTGTGGGAGGCAGATTTGAAATTGCCAAGGAGATGAACAAGTGCAAAATGATGTTGGGTTCAGACAATACCTAAACTGGCCCCATATGTACACTGCAGGGTAACTACAACTTAGACTTGTACAGCTTTTAACTCCATTTCATTTTCTGGCTTCCTCACTCACCTACAGCCACTCACAGACAACACAATCTAGTGGAAGGCCCCATAAATAATTCTAGGATTCTAGTCTTTTTTGACTTCTCCCACATCTGAGTTCTGTGAACGGTCACACTTCAATCAAACCCAAAGGGAAATGAGCTTTCAACCCTTCCTTGCTTTCTTCCAAAGGCAAAAGAAGCCATTTATGGAACACTTACTGGTGACAGCCAGGTATGTGGAGGACTGCACCTCACCAGCAGCATTGCGGGCAAAACACTGGAACATGCCTGTGTCATCTGGCACTAATCCACTGATCTGCAGGCTCCCATTGGCAAGGAGCTGGAAACGTGCAAGTCTTTCCACAGCAAGTAGCACTGCATCCTTGTACCAAAACATACGGGGTGGAGGCACACCTGAAAAACAAAATGTTTATTCATTGAAAGTTTTAAGTGCATTGTAAAACTATTTGAATTAGTTGAAATATCAAAAGGAAAAAGGGAAAAAGCCTGGTCAGAGATGACATTTCTATCTATCTATCCATTCATTTATCTATGACACATATATCATCCTTGACCCACAAAGACCCTGGGATTGATGTGTTGTGGGTAAAAATGCTACCAAAATAACTAAAAACGAAATAGCATACTCCAGACTTCTCTAAAAATAGCTCTAAAAACAGAGAGGCAGTTTTTTTTTTAAAAAAAGCCATAGCAGGTACATTTGAATTTTAAGATTCAAAGGCAAAGGAAAATAGCTGTCTTTACTAAACATCAGAAAGCCAGAAGGGATGGAACTAGCCTGATCTTGCAGGAGAGGAAGTTTCATAGTCAGTTGCCCCATCTACACTGCCATAAAAGGCATTCTTATAATGCAGTTTAACTGCATTGAACTGCATTATATGAGTCTACATTGCCATATAATGCAGTTCAATGTAGATAAACTTCATTATGAAAATGAATGAATCCCGCCCCATCTCCCAAACGGACTCGTAGCGGCTTACAACAAAACAATAACATAAATAATAATAAAACACAGAACAAGCCAAACAATTTAAATCACCAAAAATTAAAACAAGTCATAATAAATAGGATGGAATGTAAAATGCATTATATGGCAGTGTAGATGGGGCCAGAGTGAAAGGAAAAGGGCTCTAATATATATGTAGTCCAGGCATGCTTACCTCAGGCCCTCCTCATTTCTACTGTCATTTCAGCATAAGGACATGGTGGCCTGCTACATACTTATGCAGAAAAGATGGGGGAGTAAGGCACGCAGCAGCTGAGAGCCCTCTTTTTCCTCTGGTATAAGGATGGGGCAAGTAACCAGGGCCGTAGCCAGAAAAAAAATTCAGGGAGTGTTGAAAATTTCAGGGGGGGGGGGGAGTTTTGAAAATTTCGGGGGGGGGGGGGGGGGGGGGGGGGGGGGGGGGGGGGGGGGTTGAAACCTGCCTCCTAGCTCACGCTGAAGCAAAGAGCACAGCAGGGGGCAGAGCAACCTTCAATAGCCTGCAGCTCTGCCCCTGTCAACCACCTCCACCAAGTCTGGCCTCCTTAATGAGAGCATTCAACACCCCCCCCCCAACTTGGTTGCTTCACTACATCGGCTATTGCTGCAAGTAATGACAGTGTGAATAAATTGTCAATATTTGCTTGAGATAGTGCTTGCAGTTCTGGAGGGACTCTTAATTTTTTGCGTCTCATAGACTTAGCATGGGGATTTGGTTAACCAGTTAAAATTCATGAGTAAACCAGGTTTTTTTTTAACCTGAAAATTTTCAGGGGGAGGGGTTTGAACCCTTAACCCTCCCCTCCCCCCCTCCCCCCACTACAGGCCTGCAAGCAACCCTAAGTCCTCTTGGGGAGATAGGGTGGGTTGTAAATAAAGTTGTTGTTGTTGTCATTGCTGATGATGTTGTTATTGTTATTATGCCAGGACAACCTGAGGAAGACCCGGGCCCTGCCCCACCCCCTCCTGGCCTCATCCTCTCACAGGACCTCTCCTTCCCAACCCAGCCCTCTCGGTTGAGCCCACAGTGTGGCCCCAAGGCAAAAACGTTTGCCCATGCCTAATGTAGTCAGTTTATCAAAGCTAACTTTTGTGCATCCCTGCCTTCTAAACGGATTTCATATGACTGAGTTCCTACAACCCAGTACACTAAGAATCATACCCAGCAAAGACATTTCTTGAATTAGGTTTGACTTTCATTTGAATAGCCTACAGCCTGAAAAACCATAGGGCGAAAGGATATCTACAGTTGATCAAACAGGATGGATTTGTTTCAATGTATGTTATAATTCTATTTCAATGTTTATTTTAACTGTACATTATTTGAAGGCTTACTCTTAGTCAACTATAGAATAGTTTACTAAGTGTAAGCCGCCTTGAGTCCCCTTCGGGTTGGAGAAAGGTGGGGTAGAAATGTTGCAAATAAATAAATAAATATTCAAATGAAATTATACATTGTATTGCCACTTGCATTTTTATTTTCAACTATTATTCAGCCTTTATATGTGCATGAAAGGGTTGCGTAGTTAGGGAGGACAGGGAAGCAAAACTGTTTTATTCTACTATGGTTTTAGCTTTCTTCCAGTGATTTGGGAGCCAGAAATGGGCCTAGGAATGATTTTGGAATTTTTGGAATCTATGGGGGCTTGCAGGAATATGCAGGATGTGAAAACTGAAGGATGCAGAAGAGGAATTCAGGGCTGCATACAGCCTAGGGTTCACTTTGTTCACTCTTGCTTTAATGGATTTAATTCTTTTCCAATACCAAGGGAGGACTTAAATCCTCCCCAATGCCATACCTTTAACATCTTCAAAGATCTCTTTCAACAGCTAACTCTTTTATTGCAGCTTTTACTATGCCAGTTGCTTTAATGTATATTCTATATCTTTTTATATTGCTCAGTATTCTGGAAATTATTCATTGAAGGGCAATATATGCAAATTTATAAAATAAGTATGTAAGTAAATAATAAATAAATACATTTTGAATCCTCTGCAGTATCCTTTGGGAACTCTGGAGGCTGGCCAGACTATTCTTAGAAAATATCTGCAGCAGCCTTAAACTCGGGCCAGTATCTTGTAATTTCAGTTCACCGTTTCTTTGCTGAGATTCGCTGCTCCCATCAGAAAGAGCACAAACCTTGACATAATTTCAGCTGCTGTGAATAGTGTTGCCATCTACCATTGGGCTGCTTGTCTAAGACTGTCTGCAGACTCAGGCATATGTCAGTATGTCATACTTGTTGTATTCAGATAATTTCTTCAAGGTTATCTTTGCAACTTGACAGGGGAAGAAATTTGCTAATCTTTATGTGAAAGTTCTTTCCCCCTTAAAATGTGTGTAAAAGGCAAGGAAGACCATGAGCGGGGTGGGGAAGAGTAATTGCAACTCCTTGTTATGTTGAAATTTTCAGAATGTAATTCGGGTGGAAAATTTGCATGTTCTAATTGTATTTCTAGCAGAGGTGGCATTAGAACTGCAAGGAGCACACGCCCTCACTTGAAGCTCAATTGATCAAAAAGACCCATAATAAAATGAACAGATTGAAAAAATTACCTTTGGCCTGGCATGGAATCTGAACTACCTTCTCCATCTCAGCTGTAATGTGTCTCTCTGGTTCCTTGGTAAACTGAGGTGGCTCTGTAAGAAGGAGACAAACATGGGAGAGACCAACACTCGTTCATTCCAAAGTGTTAACAGAACTTATCCATGAATAATGATGTCAGGAGCGACTTGAGAAACTGTCATAGCTCAGAAACAAAACACTTATTATGCATACAGAAGACCCCAAATTCTGTGTTTAGAATCTCTGGCTAAAGAAATCAGATAGAATGTAGAATCAAGCTGAATGGCCTCCTGCCTGAGACCGGTTGTCAATCAGGAGAGATAGTACTAAACGTAATGGTTTGAGTCTGATATTGCTATTACATGCTTTCAAGTTGATGACAACTCTCTTGTGCAATTTTCTTGAAAATATTTATTCAAAGGAAGCTCGCCTTTGCCTACCTCTTAGGCTTTTTTTCATGTCAGGAGCGACTTGAGAAACTGCATTCTCTTAGGCTGAGAATGTGTAGCCTGCCCAAGATAAATATTTTGTTGATTCTTTTCTCCCTGTGTGTATTTTGTACTAATTACTTGTCCCTATAGATCTAACAGTGCCTACCACAACAAACCTCTTGACTTCAGCAACAGACTGGGAAAGAGAGTGAGTGCATCTTCTTATGGCCCCAGCAGGTGCACAGGTGGGGCTGTGATCCTGCTTGCGCACCAGAGCTGGTGACCCAGTCACCTCCCATGCCCTTCTTACCCAACACAGAGAGGTAGGCTCCTCGAACCACAGAGGGGACGCTGCTACTGCGCAGCACTGCTTCACACTCGTAGTAGCCACTGTCACTCAGTGAGGGGTTGAGAATTGTCAGGCGCCGGTTAAAGTCACTGATACCAGTGGACACAGGGACACCGCCCTTTTTCCAGATGATGTGCAGCTTGATCAGTGGCCTGGTTAGCAGAGAAGCCTATGAGAGGTGGGGCCAGTGTCATCACGTAACAAACAAGACCCCAAATATATCTCGGCAGTCCAGGGGCAATTCACAACAAATATTTTAAACCAAATGTAAATGCAGTGAATGTCAACATGGATCAAGGAGGGTGGAGGAAGAGATTAAATTTTTTGTATGATTGCAAAATGACAAGACAAGATGAACTTTTGGTGCCAGTTGAGAGAATTTTCCTTCATTGGGGTCTTTGGGTTCAATTTTTTTGGCAGATTGCATGGTGTGACATGTGCCCCTGAATATCTAGACTCACTAGAGGCTGGTGACATCTAAACTTCCAGGTGGGAGAGGATGGTGCATGGATGTTTCTGAGAGTGAGCTACCTCCTAGAGATGGTTCAGCAACTATCACTGTTTTTAGTTTATTCATCTAAACTTTCAAGAAGCTAACCAGGTTGTTGAACCAGTTTGGGGGATTCATCAGAGTTTAAAAGACAGCTCTTTTAAATTCTGGGTTAAAACCCAGAGATGATTCCCTACTACACTGACATGTAAACTAACAGTTGTCCCTGAGCAGAGGACTTTGGATGGCCTAAAAAGGCCATTTACCAGAGCATAGCTTTGGATTCATGAATAACAGCTCACTTCTGGAGGTGTCTATGAGACAGCAGGTATTATGGATTTGATGCTCTGTGGAAAAGCAGGTTTGCAACTGATCATATGACCACCTTCAAAGTTCTAGCAGCTACATTTTGCAGTTGTACACAGTTGCAGAGCATGGCAGTCAGGTAGAGACTTACCTTGCATTGGCCACACATTCAAGGGTCACTTCTGATGTACCAGATACTACGCTGGTGTTGCGTGGTGGGATAATAATGGTTGGTGCAATGGGATCTGCTGGGCCACCTACATCTGAAGAAAGATGAATAGATGTTGGCACTGGTTTTATTTTTGAAATGGAACATTTACAGTCAGTAGTAATGCACTTCTTTTCTCTATGTTGATGACATTTGAGGACTATGTGGTTGTCCTTGGCAATGGGATACTAATATTAGCCATTAAGCACATTTTGGATTTCCAAATGTTAAGAAGTGATTCTTCAACCATCAGCCAAGATCTTCTGAACATATTCACGTCAGAATGTCAAGGCCAGAGGATATTTGTATGAGAGAATACAGTCTTTCAGATAGTTTGGATTCAAGTTGCATTAGGGCTTATTCGTTCAATCATCACACCTTAAACCAGTGAAGTAAGAAATAATAATAATAATAATAATCATCATCATCATCATCATCATCATCCAGATTTCCAACATTTTCATTAGCTATGTCACTATAACGTGCAAATCAGGGATCACAAAACATACTTTGGAAATAACAACTCCCAGAATCTTGGCGGGGGGAACTGTATCTGGGAACTGTAGCTGAAAATATGTACAAACACATTATTCCTCCATAATTATTTTAGAAAATTCCAACAGTGATTTTCCATGTACCCAAATGCTTCCACTAACAAAACTCAAGAGTTTAGCTCTCCATAGTATATTTTTGAGGTGTGGATAGGACAGCATGAGAAAGCTCATTGCCCAAGCAGACAACTTGTCCATGTAACATTGATTTGTGCCCTTTGTTTTGCTATGCTAAGACCCATTCCTGTAGGACACCTCTTTTGCCCTAAGTTTATCCATAACTAAATCCATGCCTGTAGGCAAGACATAATTTGGTTGAAGCACAGAAACACTATTTAATGGCTGTAAAACTTCCATTTTCAATTTTAAGGACACAATGACTGGAGAAATCTTAGAAATTGATGAAGAGGATGGGACTTCAGTGCCCTGAACATGACCAAGTGAAACAGAATGAGTATACAAATAATAAAAACAACAGAAAAAGAATAATGGGATTTGAAATGCTGGTCCTAAACAGCTTTTCCGCCATTTATCTCTCATCACTAGAACAAAAGCTACATTACCCTGCTATTTGGTCTAGGCCGCTTCTCGGCCTTTTGGCTAAGATCAAGTGTAGGCACTATGAGCCCAGTCATACCAGTTGGCTCATGTTACTTAGCCAACAGATCTTGAACATGGCCAGAAACGGCAGCCGTTTAGGCTTGCCTGCCAGTTATTGTTATTTATCTGCCCAATTCCCAATTTCACCTCTCTCTTATCTCCCTGTTGTGCTCTTGATCTCTCCGTCCCACTTCACCCTTTTAGTTCCTTGACAAGAGCATCCCTTAATTAAGAGAGGAATTAATCAGTCCTAATGAATGAAGCATTAACAGTGGCAAGGAGCAGACAAGTGTGATTTCCCCCCACCCCTGTGCCTCTCCCATTTCAAGTGTTATTCCAAGGCATCCTGTTTTGTTTACAGCTTTTGAGTAAAACCTACCATAAAGTCAAGGAAGATGGAAGAGGAAATACCACTTTGGTGTGAGGGGAGGATGGGGACGACAAAAGGATGAGATTTATCTGAAATCTCCCAACAAGTCAACAAAATGGAGTTGCCTAGGAGAACTGATACTTAAAGTGGTTGTCTGTGGTCAGCTTCCAGGGAAGAGAGAAAATATTGTGACCAATGGACACAAATATATTGTCTTTCCTTGGATACTGTGAGGAAATTCCTCCCTCTTTACTTATATAACATAAGCAGCCATTGTCTAGACCTTAGACAATAGCCGGTTGCATACATCTTCAAAGCTCTTGGAAGAGCCAATATTCACCATGAAATTCTACAGAGATCTGTCATCTGCTCTCCCATCAGCAAATGACATTAAAGAAGGAAGAAGAGCAGGAACAGAAGCAGCAGTGAAAACAGGATGAATGAATAAAGCAAAATACTTGCAGTGCTAAACCCTACACCTCCACCCCCTCCATGCTTTGGCTGGAGTTGCAAGGCTGCTGATATAGCTGAATCCATAAAGGCGTGTGCTATGGTGTTTATTACACACGGAGGTACAACACTCCAGATTAATAGGGCATAGAAGAGGGAGGGGGATAGAAAGCCAAGTCTAGGAGACATAAAACAGCCATGAAGTAAACATAATCTGGAGGGACTCGAGCTGATTCGTGTAGATTCCATATGTGCTGGGAGGATTCCTTCAGAGTGAAGAGCCTATTACTAATGTTGTCTCCATATCACTATTCCCATATTGTGTGCCGTGATTAACATTGTCTAGATAGTATGGGAAACATGGGATGGGGATTGATTCAATGTGATGTAATTAGAATGCCTGAGCTCTTGGAGCTCTGGTCCAAAGTGCCGAAATAAATTTGGAGCCAGCAGAAATGTTTAGTCAGCACCAGCTGATGCTTTGCCAGAGATACACAGCAAATTAAATTTGAGTCTGAGCCAGGAAGAGCAACTGAAAAGTCCCAGGAAGAGCAACTGAAAAGTCAGATGCAAAGAAATACTAGTTGTATGTTGGGATTCAGGAACATGCTGGTCTTTATGAAAAACAACCAAGGCATTTGCTACACCCTCAGCCTTCCTCATCCTCAAAGTAAATAAAAATAAATAAATAAACGTGTCTTGCTGAGCTAACATAAGTTTCAAAGAGTTGGCCTTCAATTTATTTATTCACAGGTCCCCTGTGGCCCACACAGGAACAGATTAATGAGTCAATGTTAGACTCAGATGCCAGTCCTATGCCTATCTACCTTGGGGTCATCCCCTCTGAATACTCTGGTACCTTCTCATCAATAAATATAGTCCAACAATGTCTTAATGACCACATAGAGGCTTCCCTGATCTATAGTTATTGTAAGCTTCCCTTGATCTTAGGAAGAGGAATTTCCTATCATCATGATCTGGTGGGTGGAGGGTTGGACATCACTGTAAGGTTCATGCCAATGACCTGGGCAAGGAAAATTAACAACTGAGTTTAAGCCATTAGAATGATGCAATTTGTGAAATGACGTTGCTGGGAAATAAATTTTTGGGTGGTAGGAAAATACTCTGGATTTACAAAGTGCAAAGTGCTGATGATAAATAGCAGCAGAATTGTGACAGGCAGCTCAGTCCTATGCATGTCTCTCTGACAAGTCCATGGGGACCTATTTGCAAGTCAGTGTGCCTAGGCTTGTGGCACAAGGCTTAAGCAGAAATTGTGGATGGCTTCAACTGTTCCAAAGAAAGAACCATGCAGATAAACAGATGCATAGGCTCAACATTAGTAAAAGCAAATACAGTACAGACCCTGTATTCAAAGTATCAATACCCACAGTTTGATTTACACTGACAAAATATGGCTCTGGTAGGCATTTTCTAGGTCCACCAAGCACAAATCTATAGTATTTTTTTCTCAGGCTAGAATTCCTTCATTTCGATAAAATTTGCTGTTTTAGGTGGTTTCACATATGAAGTTCAGGAACATAACCCTCATGGATATGCAGGATACAGCAAGGTACCAAATGCAAGCTATTTGTGAGGATATTATAGAACTCAGTGGTTGCTTCCACCAGACCTTGAAAAGCAGCCTGGTTTCATAATTTATTATCCCATGAGAAGACAGGAACAGGTGCTGAACCCTTACCTTCAAATTCCTAAATGTTTAGAAACCTTGCTATAAAATGGCTCTTAAGTCGAGGGTCTCTCCCACCCCACCCTGAGTGGCACTTACTCTCCACGGTGAGTGTGATAGGTTGGCTGGTCTTATTATCTCCATTCTTGTCATTTACAGCCTGCACGTAGTACCGTCCAGCATCAGGGGCCACTGTTGATAGGATCACAAGAGTGTTCTCCAGGGTGATAGCTCTGAAAGGAAAGAAGAAAGGGTTTAGAGTTAAGTTTGCATTCAAGATGTAAGATGGTCATCCCAAAAAGAAGCTGCCAGATATGTTGCACACAATGTCTTAATAAGTGTATGGTATGTACTTAATTTTCTATTGGCCAACACTGTGAGGGACAATGTGAAAGCCCCTGTTCCTCCAACACCCTTCAGAAATTCCAAGCTCAGCGATCTGATTCCTATGGATATGAATGGATTTTTCACTCTGATTAAGTCAGGTAAGGCACACTAGGGTAGTAGAAGGGGGAATATTATCTGTTGCAGAACCCCAAATGGTTCATCCCTTTCTAATGACATACCATCATCTAGCAAAGTCTTGGGTCAGTTCCCCTATCACCAACAGGGCATATTTCTGAAACTGAGGGAAAACACATGATATGACTAGATGAATGCCGGGAAGTATTTTTATATCTTGCAACTCTGCCACTTGGCTTGAGTCTTCATGACAGAGAGTACAGTAAAAGGACAAACACATCCTTTAATTTTATGCCTAAAATAAGCGAATTTCTGAATCTGTCAGTACATTTTGGTATTCAATCTTTTTAGAAAGACCATTATACTTAAGGTTTACTTAGAAGTATATCCTGTTATATTTCATAGGATTTATTCTCTAAAGTATGTGTTTAGCTTGGAGTTGTGTGCTGATTGCTATAATTGGTTAGTCCCAAATACAGTAAACCCAGGACACTTCTACACAGCACAAAAATGCAGGTTTTAAAAGGAGGACAAAAAAACCCGGGACCTGAGAACATGTCCCCACACAGACCTGTGGATCCCAGTATTTCTTCCCCCACCATCCTCACATGCTTCCTTTGTATCGGAACAAGATTGAGGGTGGATGGGGGATATCTGGCAGAAGTATTTTAAAAAATCACTCTGTTATGCACTGGACTGTATATGCGGGCATGCGAATTCTAATTGCTCTCAATTCGTGCTTCCTTTAAATCAGCTGTGTGTCCAGTTTACAGTCCAATCAGCTGAGCAGCTGTTTCAGACTTTTTTAAAGCAGTCATGTGCTGGAGAAGTCTTCACAGGCTGGAGGGAAGGAAATCACATGTTTTTGGTGAGTGTAGGGATATACAGTGATGCGAATATGCACATTTTCTGGCCGGAATAGGTATAAAAGGGGACCTTTTAAACTCGTGTTTTTTTGTCCACTGCAGTAAATCAGTGTGCTTTTAACACTAACGTCATGTAGCAACCCCTCCCCTTGAACTCAGAAAATCCAGTGTTTAGGTGGTGTTTAGATGGGCCCCCATTCAGTCAACTGTTGAATGGTGAGTCAATATTTCTAATGGATTCAAAAGACCTATTATAATCCATGACTAAAATAGGATTTGGGCCATAGTGTGTTAATGATATCATTTGGTGTACACATTTGGCAGCTGTATTTTATTTGAGGGTAATCTATGTCCCACATTCATTTATTATAAGTTACATTCATAATCTGCCCCGCATATTGTTTATGACACAGCATAAAACATTCTCCCACCCCACTTTATTTCACAACAGGTTTGTTGGTTAAGCTAAAGTAAAAGATTGTGACTAGTCAAAAAACATCCAGCAATCTGGGTGGGGATTTGAACCGTTCCAGTCCTTGTCAACCATGACAAAACATGGCTCCCATGTATATGTGCCCAGCAAGCACCTTAAGCAAATGAATTTGACACAGGATTGAGACACAACTTCTGTATACACTTATGGAAGTGTCTAGCGAATCTGAATGGAAAAAGTGAATATTCATGTACCTATTTGTACATATGAATCCTGTTTCTGTCTAATGTCTATGATTTTAAACCTGTGTGATTTTAAACAAATGTTTAGTAATTTAATGCCTTAATGAATTGTTTTAATTGCTATTATTTATTACTGTTGTTGGCAGTGAATGAATGCCTGTTGTGAAGCCACCCTGAGTCCCCCTCCGGGGATGAGAAAAATGGGTTACAACTGCAAAAATAAATAAATAAACATGTTACTGTATGAAATAGTTGGACATTTCAATGCATTTAATTCAAGGTCATGGAAGTAGATTTGTACATTTGATGTTGCTTGGTTGTGCATACCACATAAGTTTAATTATATATTCTAGTGTGTAATCAGTGTGTATTCAAACAATTATGCTACCCAGTCCTAATGTAAGGTCTAGAATAATCCCTATAAAATAAAGCAGGATGCACTTCTAATAAATCTTAAGTTTAATGGTCTTTCTAAAAAGATAGAATACCAAAATGTACTGACAAAATCAGAAATGCATTTATTTTAGGCATAGAGTATGTTTAACATACACTAGAGTAGGAATACATAAGGCAACCTGTTTGACTTCAAGAATTTATGTGTTTCTTTCCTGGCTTATAGTTTTTTAATTTGTTTTTCCACAGATCCGCATATCTCTGAAACTAGAAAGGCAAAAAACAATTAGATTAGAAGTCTACTGTCTGCATAACTCTTATCAGGACACACACACACATAAAGGATCATTCAAGGTGGAGGCTTCTACAGTTACCAATTGCACAATGCTGTAATTGTTTTATCTTCCTTTGTTTTGCAGAAACTAAAACTGATAGGCTGGGTTGAATGTATTGTCTATGTTCCAATTGTCCTCAGTATGCAGACAATATCTTCAAGTATCATGTGCTATCATCAACAGAATCAAAAGGAAAGACATGGCAAGAAAACATCAGAAAGTTACAAGTGGAGGTTCCCATAAAACTCTCTGAACAAGATGAGACAAGAATAGGATCAAATCTTAGAAATATCTTAAGAGCAGCAGCTAAGCAGCCATCTCAGTTCAGACATAATAATACATATAAGTGTGTCCGTATCTGTCTATTCTTGGATGTGACTAAATGCACACATGAAGACTTTGGAAGAAGGTTTTTTTACTACAACTCCCACAATCCCCAGTGCCTATACTTGCTGGGGAAATCTGGAAGACATAGCCCAAAAAGTAACATTTCCAAGCTCTTCACTTTAACAGTGTCCCGTGATCCCAGAGGAGAAGGCGACTGAAATGCACAAACCAAACATTTGCTCTGTGCTGAAGCTATCTTCACCTCAAATGAAAAGCAATAAAATAAAATAAAAATCTTCCCCGTTTCCTGTGCCTGCCTTTAAATTATCTCAGTGGCTCCACGTTCTGGAGGGAGAACAAGTTGGAAGTTCATAGATTAATAGCTTTCTTTTTTAAAAGAGTGATCTAATCTGCTGGAGATATAAAATGGCTGGGGGAGGGGAAATATATTTTACTGTTAAATTTGTGATAAAGGCGTTTTATCTCCTCAAACTGCCTTTACAAATGGAAAGGCAGCCAGTTCACTTCCTGCATAATGGAGGTTATGCATTCAATTCTACCGAAATGTCTCTGTGTTCGAGAGAAATCTAGCCAATGTATGTGTGTGGAATCTATAAGGGCAGAGGTGTCCTATTTTTCTTTCAAGACTGCGTGTTTCTGCAGTGTATAAACAAGAGATTGAGACACAAGTATGTTCCACAAACACAGGATATAACTTGTACATTACCTGTGTGAGCACAGATATTGATAAAGCTGTATTTGTGATGTGTGAAAAAGTTCATTAGAAATAAATGGGCTTTTAATACAATTTCGACTGGGTTGGCATCACTTGGGACAATAGAAAGGAACCGAGTTACTCAATGATGAAATTATTGCCTAGCTTGATTTAATTTATTGTCAGGTCACATAACGTAAGATTAAGATCGCAGTAATAAGATTCACAATGCTACTGGGACTATAACAAGCAGAAGTTAGTAACAAAATCAGCAAGAAGAAAATAAATGATAAGAAAGCAGCCTTACTCAGTTCTCATGCTTTGTTCAAATATTTGCAATGAGCAGATTATGTTATGGCAAAACACATCATTACATAAATTAGCCCTAATTATTAAGGAAAGCAGGCTTAAAACACATATTAGACCAATGAAGACATATCTAGTATTGCAGCAATAGTTTTATTCTATCACAGTGATGCGCTAAAAATGGTTTACTCAGACAGGATCAGTATTAAACCATAAAGTAATAGGCAATAACATTAAAGATATATACACCCTTTCACACACAAACACACAGCACCATGCAAGGAAAGAAACAAGCAAAAGCTCCAAAGAAATGATCAGTCCAGTTAGTTTAGGGCTTCTTAAACTTTGTCCATTTGTGACCCTTTTCCATCTAATAATTTTTACTTGACCCCAGGTATATAAAATAGGTATAAAAACCAAACATTTATGGATAAATTACATTTTCAAAACTTTTTAAAAAGGTTGAATTTCTTTTTTTATGAAGTACAGATGAAGCATTTTCAGCTGAGTTCATGTCAATGTCTAGGTGGCATTTAGAAACTTTTTATTGTTGCCAAATTTTTCACGACTCCAACATTGAGCTAAGGGGACCCCATTTGGGGTTGGGATCCATAAGTTAAGAAGCAATGAGCTACACAAAGATTGGGAATTAGACTAGGATTGGAGTCAGAGAGGAGAGTTTGGGTTCGTAGTTTGGCATAGTAGATCTGAGTTAACTTAAGGTGGCTGGGAAACAGTGTGTGTTGTGTTTTAAATGTAATACATATTCACTCTGCTATATTCAACTTTGGTAATATCATTTTTGTTTTTGTACATTTTTGGCAAATTTATACCAAAGGTTTGATTCAGACAAGGTGTCTTGTAGTGACAGCATTGACTATATAAGGTAGTGTTCACTGGGATCACATAAGGAAACAGGAAAAAAGTCCTTAAACTAGTGACAGAAATGTGGATCAAGGAAAGCTCTCACTAATATTAATTGCTCATGGAAGTCTTCAAGTTTGATGGGTTAAGGAATAGAATATCTACATTTGGCCATATTGGTGGGATTGCCAGAGTGGAAAACACTACAGTTGGTGGGATATGGGTTTGAAACCCTCTCATGGGGGAAAACGGATGGATCAAACATCTCTATCTTCCTCCCCTTACTAGGAAATGGGCATCATCGTGTGTAATGAACCATAGTTTTCCAGAACAACAATCTACAGGCATACGTGTGTGTTTGGTATATGTGGCTTCCTCTAATTACAGCCAAAGCATTCCTATCTTCAAAGCTATTAAATACTACATCATCTGGAAATGTTTACATTTAATTCAACTTATCAAATATGCCCTTGTCTCTCACCTTTGCATTCTACAAGTCATCATTTTTCATCATGTTTAAACTCACGCACGCACAACTGCCTTCTCCAAAGGATTTTCTTTCACAAGAGCAACAGCTCTTGAAAGTGCCGTCTTATCAGTAGCATTCTCCCTCTCACCTCACTCACAGGAAGAGCTAAGGTGTCCTTGCCCACCAACTGGTTGCTGAGAAAATCATACAAAATAGCAGCCGGCATATTCCCATACAGAATAGCAGCCGGCATATTCAACTTAGTTCCCAGGAAGAAGATGGGGGTGTGAACACACAACAGCATGCCAAATTAGGTGAAGACACAGTCAAAGCTATAATTTCAGAACTGCTATCATGATGGAAAATGTCACAACCATGGAGAAACAGGTTGTGTATGGTAACAGTTAGCAGGATTCTTTTTTTTTTAACCTGCACTTGATAAGCTTTTACTTTGGGGGTGCTATTTGAAGTGCCTGCAAAGAAACCTATGAACGACAAAGAAACTACAGGAAAAGATGTACCACCTAAAAATTAGAAAGAATGTCCTGATGGTAAGAGCTTTATGCTAGTGGAATATATCTCAATTTGTGGTGGTGTCTCCTTCTACTATCCATTAGAAGTACCAATATTGTTGATTCCTGCATGGAAGAATGAGGTTGGACTGGATGGCCCCTTGTGGTCTCTTCCAACTCAATGAAATTCTTCTAGATTACAACAAAGTGGGAGTTTGAACCCACATCTTGTTAGTCCTACTCTGTCCCTCTTACCCACTATGCCATGCTGGTTCTCATCCAGCAGGTCTGTTAGAGTGAAGGAAGACATGTTATGCTACTAGATCAAGGCCTGAAATGCATGTTTTACTGAAACTACATCGAAAACAAGGGTGTGCAAAGTGGAGCCCTCCAGATGTTGATGGTCTGTAAATCCCCTCAACCTTGGCTAAGTTGGGTAAGGCTGACAAGCACCATAATCCAAGAACATCTGGACAGCCCTGTTTTGTCTAAGGCAGTGGTTCTTAACCTGTGGGCCGCTGAGCACTAGTGAACCACGAGGACAAAAACAGGGTCTGTGAGCCTCCATCCTATTTTATTTTATTTTATTTCAGCTCCTTTTGCAGTGCATCCATGCTTTCCCTGTCGCTGACCATCCCTGCCCCCTTGGATAGACCACATCAGCTCTAGATTATTAAATATGGTTTTCTGTGGGTGAGCAGATGGCGACTACTGGATGGCATATATTTCTGTATCAGAAACTAGAGTTGATGTGATCTATCCAATGCAATTTTCTGAATCAGCACCCCAAATAACCAAACCAAATCTAAACTTGACCAAAAACTGATTCGTAAACCTTTTGGTATTAATGTTGGAGAGTGGTCCCTGGTCAAAGTGGTCTCTCATCAAAAAAAGGTTGGGAATCACTGGTCTAAGGTAATCAGGGCAGGCAGGCAGGAGATTGACAAAAAGATGAGGTCCAAGGGAGTCTCAGACAAAGAGATGTGAACATGGTCCCTTTCACTTTACAAAACTGTGTTGCTATGATTTCAACTTAATTGTAATGGAAACCTTCTATGGGATCCTGGGATTTGGAATTTAGGGAAGTGATTTGAGATTTTTCAGTGAAAAGATTCTATAATGCCTCTGGCCAAATTGCCAATAAAAGGATGACATAGGATACAAGCATAGCAGTTAAAATGGAATCATAATGCTGTAACTGCGATGGGTGAAGGAGATATTTTACACTTCACAGTGGTCCAGAAATGCAGAATGTCAAGTGGGAGTGCGGGAGAAAAAGTCACCCAAGGGTGAAAGACAGATTATTTAATTTATTTAATTTCTATCTGCCTTTCACCTATACAGCGGAACTCAAGACAGCACATGATTTGAGTAAAACCAGGACATCACAGCTACACAGCAACATGAACACATGCAGGTACCATCTACACACCTTCCCTTCTGTTAGATTTTGCAGAAACGAGACCTGTCAGCCCTTAACTTTATAACCCTTGAGTGAGCTCTGCTGATGAACATACAAGCAGAGCAGTGGTTGCTTAAAAAGCTTTCCTTACTGAAAAATTGCCCTTCGCTGGTGGGGGCAATGCTGTATCTCATTATGAATGTGACTGTCTGAATGGGGAGACATGGCCATTTTTCCCTCCTTCTTTCCTGAACAGAGTGTTACAATTCTTAAGAAAGAACAAGTGCCCTTCTTTACAGCTCTCTCTCTCTCTCTCAATCTCTCTCTCTTGGCTCCCTTTCTTTTAAATTCATTTTCTCCATGATAAACAAAGCCATTAGTTTATCAAGCCTATCTCCGGATTTTAATGTGATGCGTTGGAGACATCTGCTAAACATCCTTAATGTTAGTTTAACAAGGACACATTCAGCTGCATTCCCTCACACTTTCTCCCATTAAGATGGGACGTGGCAGGATTCTCTCAGACAAACGACTCTGCTAATGTGTCTGCCTCCTGCTTCTCCACTTGTGTTTGGGTAGGGGTGGGGTGACAGTTGATAATGCTAGTTCTGATATCCTTTTGGGACATGCTTCATGCTTCTTCAAGAAAAGCCTCACCCTTCTTTCTCTGTGGATGTCTGGAAGATAGCCTCCAGGACTATCAATATTCAGAATTCTTTCCAGGTAGGTTGTGAAGTCATATTTCTATCTATAGGCAGACTGCTGATACTTACCTAACCTTTCATGTCATGTAGCAGGCTGAGTGCATCCATTATTCCCCGATCCCCCGAGGTACTATTGTAGCTGAAAGGGTTAAGTCCCTTTAGTCACCACAATGACTCTTGAAGGAAGGTGACAGCTAAGGACAGCAATGTAATAAGAGAGAGTAGAAAAAGACACAGACTCCGCACACCCACCCATCACCTGTCAAGGCAATAAGGACACTGGAAGGATAATACAAAGACAGTCTTCTAGGTTTAGGTTAGAGCAAGGAAGCCTGAAGAGGCAAAACAGTGTTTATTCTTCTGGGACAGCTCAAGATTTTATGCTGATGAAGGCAAAAGACAAGATGACAGCTCCTCCAATCCACACTCCAAAGCTGCCTGAACTGGCAGTTGGCTTGGGAATAGGATACAGTCTTGCATCAATGGGAAGGGTGTGGGTCAGTGCTCCATGGCACATCCAGCTATGACATCTGAGAGAAGAACATGGCCAGGAGGGTTCAGGAGGAAGCCTGGTCCCCAATGTCCCCAAGTACAGGCACCTAAAAATCTTGCTCTGCCTAAAAGAAGGGTCAGCCCTGGTTTTAGCCAACTCACACATTGTTTTGGCAACATTTGGTTGGATGATATGGAGAAAGTAACTACAATGTGCAGCAAGCAATTCTACAATTCAGCTCAATTAGTCACAAGCTGAAAAATTAGTGCTAGCAAGACAGGGAGCAGAAATTCAGTTTATTCTAGCATAGCAGGAATCCATGGCTACATCTGCCAAGTCAACAGCATTCATCAGACGGGAATCTCCCACTCACAGACACAACGGCTGGATCCACTTTTCAAGGAAGGACCTCTCTGAACTCTCTTATGAATATTAATCAGCAGTAATTGCTGTGAAACGGTTGATAGAGCCAGTACTGAATGGAATTGGCATGCAGGCAGTGCTCTGTGGTGCCTCGGAGGCAGGGCGGGCACATGGGCCATTAGGCACAGTGGTTCCTAAGGGGGCAGTTAGCTGGCAAGTGTGATGGAATGCACACAGCCCTAAAGGGAACTGTGCACAATGCTCCCCAGACGGAACAGGCAGAGCAAGGGAGCATCTGCGAGGTGCACTGGCAGACACATGGGCACAACAGAGGACACAGAGGTGAAGGGAGCGCATTTGCATTGCTTATTAGCTTCTGGCTCAATAGAGGCAAACCTCTCAATTACTGACTGATGTATAATATAATTGCATTACTTTCTTAGTACCTGCATATATGAAAAGGACCAGTAATGCTGAATCACTTTTGTTTGTGTGAGTGTGTGATATGTGTACACGACTGTCCAAATATAAGAGTTCCAAATGTTGTTTGGGATAGGACCATCACCTTCTGACTGAACTGCAACTAAATTAAGTTTCTAATTCCGAACAGTTCTCAAATTTGACCTTTTATGTCTCCCACATAGGCCTGATATCTGTTAAGATGAACATGGCATAAGTCAGTGGGGAAGAGATGGATGCTCTTGTCCTTCACAGAGATAAGAAAGCAAAAGAGAGATCCCAGCTTATAGGAATGCAACAAATGGTCACACCTATTCTGGAAAATTTACTGGAGGGCCAATCCTCCGGGTGCAAAAGCTGACATCACACTGTAGGGCAGTGTCCTCTGGCCAAGTTTTACCACAACCTCCATCATCCTCACTCAGCTCTAAAAGGATAATAGAAGTTGTAGTTAAACAGATCTTCAGGGCACAAAAGAAGCTTGTTGTGGGATGGTTTACTCTAAGGTCATTTAGATGCTCCGTTCACCAACTGCTTCATCAGACTGGCCAGTTTGCTACAGGAAGGAGTAGAGACACATGGCTCTGTTACTAAGGGTGGAGGGAACCTTTCAAACACCTTTCTTAGGAAGTCTCTGATCACTGAAGCTTGCTCCCTGTAATAGCCATTTTACTCACATGCGGCTGCTGGGAGGGATTTTGCGGCCATCTCGGAACCAAGTGACTTGTGGGCGAGGGAAACTGGCAATGCGGGGGGCGCGGATGACAGCAGCTTCACCATGAGAGACACTTTGCTGCTTCTCACTTCCTTCAAAGCTCCCCATGTCTGGAAAGGAACAAAAACAGTAAAAAAATTGTTAGCTCTAAGGAGCAGGGAAACCCAAGACCAGGTATTCTCAGTGCCTGAAGCAGACAGACACTAGAGGTTGCCAAATCTGGCTGGTATATCTGTTCATGTATATATATGTACACAAACACACATACCGGCATGCATTCATTTGCACACATCAAAACACTTGCTTCTTCGTATTGTCGAAGGCATTCATGGCCAGAATCACTGGGTTGTTGTAGGTTTTTTTGGGCTATATGGCCATGGTCTAGAGGCATTTTCTCCTGACGTTTCGCCTGCATCAAGGAACATGAAAGGCACTGCAGACTCCTTCAACCAGAGGAGTCAGCCATAGCAGAGCACCTGATGAACCAACCTGGACACAGCATATTATTTGAGAACACAGAAATGATGGAGCACTCTCACAACCACCATGTCAGACTACACAGAGAAGCCATTGAAATACACAAGCATGTGGACCATTTCAATAGAAAGGAAGAAACCATGAAAATGAACAAAATCTGGCTATCAGTATTAAAAAACTCAAAAATTACAACAGCAAAACAACAGAGAGTGAACAATCAGGCACATCAAATCACCTCTCAATCAAAAGATTCCTCCAGGTACTTCCAAGCCATTAAATGCTAATCAAGGTGGTCAGTTGAAACATTCACACCTAGCTCCAGCAGACAAAAGTCCTTTGTCCCACCCTGGTCATTCACAGATATATAAACCCATTTCCCTACTTCCAACAGACCTCACTACCTCTGAGGATGCTTGCCATAGATGCAGGCGAAACGTCAGGAGAAAATGCCTCTAGACCATGGCCATATAGCCCGAAAAAACCTACAACAACCCACTTGCTTCTTCATTTGCACAAGGGCCCTATCTACACTGTAGACAAGACCCAAATGCCTGAGGATTCAAGTTTTGGAAAATTCCAGGGTTTTCAACTCACTACAGATTTTCTCCACCTTTATTTGACTACATCTCACATTATTTTCCATTTAGCATTTTGGTTAGGGGGATGTATTAAGTGCAAAAATACTCTTGTAATGTTTAACTTATGAAAGGGTACCTGTCTCTCTAGACTGCAAGATTCTCCTTCCAAAATATATGGGAGGAAGGGCCTCATTGCTGTTAGTGTATACACTGAAAGGTGACAGTTTATATTGTGTGAGTGGGATGATCTATGTGCCTGTTATATCTAGATATCCATTCCTTGAGAACAAGTGAATCATAGGAAAGAGCATGACTTATAGTACTGGGAAAGTACTATATGCTCTTCTTCAAAACGGAACTCTTTAAAAGTGTGATTATCATTATTCTTGTACAAAGTCTTTATAGTACAGATAACACCATTGAACACTGCCGATGTTTTCCATTGGCAATGATCCGTAGTAGAAAACAAACAAACCAACCCACCTCCTTCTCCTGCTCTCTGTGTAATTTCCTCTCCTATCTGTACAACATTCATCTTTCTCTTGGCCCTTCATACGTCCATATGTGTTACTGTGCTTTTTCAATTGCCAAACAGCCCCAAACCTTTTCCCTCCTCAGCACTTGTTGGTTTTTAACCAATAACCTTGACATTGCTCATTTGGTGTCTCCTCCTGATGCAGCTGTTCATGAGTTAGTAAATTGATAGCACCTTTAACAATAATACTACTAATGACCAAATAGGTGTGTGGGGAGGTGGGGGGAGATTTTATTGACTTGCTTTAATTGCTGTAATTAAAAACATGTAAAGAATCTCTTTTTAATGACTTGGCCATTAGCACAGCTGCCCACTTAATTTCCCATTAACTGTCTGATTTGCCACCAAGCTTTAGAGGAGGGGGTTGTTTGGGGAGAAGGAGAAAAGGTAGTTGGGGAGATGGTGGTGGTGATGGTGATGGACCACATTAATATATAGTCTTGGATAACATGCTGAGATGAAACATACACCTTGCATGATGGTTGGCTCACGCCAAAGTGCTACTATTTGCTTTTAGTTGTGGAGGTCTTCCATACTTGATTTACAAACTTAAAAAGTCGGGAGGTGTTCATAGATCTCCCCTTTTTCCAGTTTTTGATGGTGATTATTTCCTTTCCCCAATTTCAGGTGGTTATTTTTCTTCCTGGCAGAAAGGCAGAGAGGTATGAAAGCCAGTATACTAAATCTTGTGTTTTCAGAGCTTTACTTCAGGCTCTGAGCAACAAGGTGTTCTTTCTTTCCCCACCTCTTTGCAAGGCTTCCCAATGGCTGTCTGGATTTTAATTTTCTCTTGCTGCTTCAACTCATAGATCTTCATTCCAAGAATGCTGATGAGGCACCAAGTTCACTTAGGATGATTCCTGATGGAAAACACTCCTAACAGAAAGTGTCACAAAGGAAGGTTAAGCCCCGTTTCATGGAAATGTTAACCACTAGGGCTCACATACTTGTAATTTCATTTTGAATCTTCTACTTGTGGTGGAAGGTCCTTTCAAAACAAAACCTGCAAGCATCACGGGCATATCTGTTTTTCCTCAAGCAACTTCAAATACTTATAACTGCAGAGAAAGAGCTAAGTACCTAATAGAGATTAGTTGTCAAATTATAGAAATTGGTTCTGGCGCAGCGTTCACAGCATAACTGTGGAGCAGCATTTCACAGTGGTAGAGAAATACCTAAGTAGGAAATGCTGGATTTGGGTTCTTTTAGCTGCTTGGTTCTTTTAGCCAGTCAATGGATGTCATATCCCACATGTAATTTGTGCTTCCTTATAAAAGAAAACCCCCAGAAACCACATGATATCGCTGAAATGACAGTTGGATTTTTGGAAGTATGATTCAGGATCTTGAATCTTTAGATGTGGGAATTCTTGCTATCACAAGCAAAGAATGTGAAGAGGTTACATCAAAGCCATCTCTCCACCTCTCATCCAAAAATTGGGGAGGGGAGAGAGAAAAAGAAAGAGAAGAGGTAGGAGAGGTAGGAAGGAGGGCAGCACTGAGCGACTGTGGTGCAGCACTGAAACTGACAGTGGACATCCAATCAATTTTTTTCATTAGGCCAGAATGTTCCTTCATTCTAGTACCCTCTTCAAAAGTGTCCTCTTCCATCAGGATTAATTGTGTAGCATCTCCTTTGCCAGGGTGGCACTTTTATTTTCTGTGGCTGAGCACCAGTGACAGCAGAGGAAACCTCAGAGGTTCCCATCAACCTTGCCTAAAGCCTGAATTGACATCTCCTGCTGTTGCCATCCTCTGCCTTGTGGTCATGCTTTCTTTTTCTGCTTTCTTCTCCTACCCTTGGCTTAGCAAGTCTTCTTCTTTTCTGGGCTTTTGAAGTTCCCACAGCAAGCTCTAATTTGACATGCAGAATTTGTCAACCCTTGCTTTCTGCTGAACCAACTCTGCTTCCTATACAGCCCTGGTGTTAACCTTGAAGACCACAGGGACTGCCATTCAAAAGCATACTGCTGCCTAAGGCAGAATTGCAGATGGCAGGCCAACTCCCCAAAATCAAGACAAACTATACTTACAATTACTACCTTATTTTGTAACTGCAAGCATAAAATTCTAAAAACACTTTCCCACACTCCCTGGCAGTGAAAAATAACCAACTTTTTTGCTTTACCTTCAGGTCACCCTAAAGGGGCTGCCTTTACCATTCTGTTCAATGGTAGAGGCAGCCGCAACACCTGAAATTCTTGCAAAGTGAACCTTGCAATGACTGATCATAGTCATCCTCAACAACACTGAGGGTAGCCAAACATAAAGCAGTTATACCTTAACTGTTCAGGTTTTCTACTCTTGATTTCCACACTTAAAACACAACATGGAGGTGCCGGGGGGGGGGGGCTAATATGTGAAACAGACCCCAACACATCCATGTTGGCTTCCTAATCCTGTGGACCTTCCATTCTTTGCAGTTGCCTTGGGAACATCCAAGATCTCTTGATCAAAGCTCATGGCAGCTTTTTCAGCTGCAGTGAAACTTATCATGGCCAGTTTAAGGATATACATTACATTAGACATATAAACACACTTGCATGTCAAGATATTGATCTCCAAGATATTACCCTGCCCCCCCCATGCCAAAATTAAATGCTCTTCCTTCTGCCACAAATAGCTTCATTTCAGACACATACTCTTGTGTATTCAAGCATGAGGTGTGCCCCCCCCCCCCAAGCAAAATGCCCCGGGCACTAGCAGGAGGATCCAGATTCTTCTGCTGCCAGCCAAAGATTTGTCACCTACGTTCCAGCCTTTCCTGCTGTGAGTCAGGGAGGCCGGCACTGATTTATATGGGCAGCTTGTCCCGGCATCAGGCAATGCTGCTGTAATTGTTATAAACGTTGTTTGCTTTCCTTGCCTTCCAGAGGGTGATGCTGTAGAGAACTGCTTTTTTTTTTTGTTAAAAGCCATCTCAGGGATTTAACACTTCAGGAAAACAGTCTCCTCAGAGCTGGCTTCACAAGCAATTCTGTTAATGGAACTCAGAGACAACCTGGGAATTTTCCTGCTCTTTTCTCCCTGCTACTATCTCAACTCTGAGAGCTCCCTATTTGATACCCTCATCCTAATCCTCTCCAGATCCTCCAAGATCCATCAACTCAGCCTAGTTTTCTCTTAGCAGCTATATTTCAAATGGGCAAAAGTTACATTTTCACATATCAGTCGCTATTTCCTATAGACACGTTGCATATAGTGAGAGAGAAAAACCATAAAAAGGACAAATAAGGGAAGGCAGTGTTTGCAGATCACCTCTTGGCTTGGAGGAAAGGAGCACTGACATTTGAGGTCTGAGGTTTTGTGATTTGCCTCAGTCATGAAAGGTAGGTTTATTATTGTCAAAGGATTAATAAAACATGACACAAAAGGAATGCCTTCTCAAACAGAGAGCATGGCAAGAGAATTCTCTTTCTTTATTGCTATGTTTTTTTAAAAAATTATGCAGCTGGCTAAGAGATATTCTCTGCAAAGACCTATAATCTTGATGTGAAGGAGAGAAAGATGTCCCAGATGGACAAAATCTTGTCCCATTGGTTCTCCACTCATACTGTTCAGAGATGTGTGCCTTTCTTTTAATTTGCATTTTTTCATCTTTATCTTCCAGCTGTTGTTTGAAATTCCATTTTGCGCTGTTCAGCTGAAGAGCACTTAAGCATCTAATAATGTTTGCTCAGAGAGGGCCATCTTGATCTCACTACCCAGTGACCTTGACTGCTTGTCCCATTAGGTTGCAAGGATAATGGTAGTGGTGGGAGATTAATACAGTACAACCCCAATATTAGCAGGACCAGGACCTGTGATTCCACTTAGCCATATCCCTCCAAAAATTACATCTAGGCACTGTCTAGGTGCACCTGTGCGGTTCTATGGCAGGCATCCATTAGAAGCTGTCAATAGGACTATGCTGGATGCCCCAGAAATGCCTGGAGAAATGTTCTCTCTAGGCACTTCTAGGTCCACCAGCACAAACCTATCATTCATCTTAATAGGGTTCACTATTATCCATGGTTTCACATTTTCAAGGTAAGTCCAGGAACATGTCCCCAAAGGATATGGAGGCCATACTGTAAAGTTAGGATCTGGAAGGATCCATAATCTAGATTACATGTGTAACAAAGCTTTGAAACAAACATTTCCTAATTTTTGATGTGTGAAGAAGATGGTATACACAAATACAGAAAAGCAAGAAAGGAGGTGCTCCGAGGGCCAATCAAATCAGTATTCACAGTATGCACACATACACAAACATACACAAATGGCATTTCTACACTGCTTAATTGCTGAATGTCTCTGATGGCTCACAAAACAATGGTAAATACTATAGTACATGAATAAAAGATAATGTAAAATCTAATACAAATTAAAACTGACACAGAATAAAACAAAGATAAAACCAAAACATGTTAACCTAGGGACTGTAGTTTGGTGAGAAAGCAAAGGGAATGTCTTTATACTTATGCCAAACTGCTGCTGCCATGGGGCAAAGCTGTCACAACAAGCTGGTATAAATGTGCTGTGTATCTGTGCTATGCTCATTGCCCAAGCAATGTATGATTTCGGGCCACTTGTGGCATACGTTTTATTATGTTCTATATACATTTCCAGTGCAAACAACACTACTTTTTCTTAGCCTGCTCTTTGGGTCTAGCCACATGCTATGTTCAGATGAATGTAGCAGATTCCCCTCACCAGCAGCTTTTTGCAAAGACGAGTAGCATCTCTGGCAGTGGGAAAAGTGGTTGCATATTGGAGAAAATGTACAGGGAAGCTTCTTCTCTTATTTCATAGGATCTTAGATAAACTTTTTCTTAAGATTTCTATGACTGAGAATAATCTTCCAAAATAATTTATGTCATCCTCTTATCCAAAGATGCTAAGGAACAAGCCTTCTGCATGTGAAATCTATGTTCTACCAATGAGCTGTGGTTCCTGTTGGTGTCTTGTTGTATACAGGCCTGTAGCCGGGCCGGGGGGGGGGGGGGGGGGGGTTAGGGGTTTGAGGTTCAACCCTCCCCCCCCCGAAATCTTTCAGGTTAAAAAAAAACCTGGTTTACTCATGAATTTTAACTGGTTAACCAAATCCCCATGCTTAAGCCTATGAGATTGCACGTGCAGAAAAACCATCAAATGCACTGGAAGCATATCTTATCTTGTCTGTGATGGACAGTTTTTTCCGAATGTGAAGAAACTTCTTTGGATTTCTGCAACATTGCCAGTGTCAACAGCTACAAATGAAAGGTCATTTTCAACCCTTAAACATTTGAAAACATACACAAGAAGCACAATGAGGCAAGAAAGACTGACTGGACTTGCACTCTTGAGTGTCCACCGAAGTTTATCAATAGAGCCTGATTTCTGTCAAAGTGTATTGACACAGTTTTCAAGTGTTTCTAACAAACGTTGTGGTATTCTTTTGTAACTATAAATGATCAATTAGCAATTATTTGCAGTTATTTTTAAGACTTGAAGCTTTAACTAAAATAGAAATTTGATTTAATGAAGTCTATATAAAATATACTTCAAACCATATAATTTAAAGTATTATATGTTATGGCACGATAAAACATGCCTTGTTACCCTTTGTAGTATTTTACCTAGCTCATTGCTATCTTAAATGCTGGTTATAAGTTTCAATCCTTGTTTTATCAGTTTTATCTGCTGTTAATTCCACCCACATCGTGTGTTTTAATCGGTTTTGGCTATTTTTGGCCTTACTAACCTTGCATACCTTGTATCTTATATCTTTTACAGAGCAATAAGGGTCTTTGGACTATATTAAAAATGTTGTTGTTGTGTTATCGAACTACTCTTCATAATTTGCTAAAATAAAGTTTCAACCCTCCCCGAAATTTTTTTCTGGCTACAGCCATAGTTGTATATGTTTCATACAACACAATAATTCAATTCAAACATCTGATTCATTTGAAGCTGCTGCTCCTCCCATTCTTTGGGCTATCTTTATTGAACATCAATATTTGAAAGGCCTTTAAAAATATTCACAAGCCTTCTTTTTCACATTTTTAGCATGTAGCACATTTTATGGATAGCTCCCTTGATCACATTTCAACTCTTTGGGTTCAACTTACATGCCACCTGAACTTCAGTCTGCCTTTGCAGCAGGGCTCCCATGCGATTGCGCACGATACAACGGTAGAAGCCGGCATGGGTACGGTCCAAGGATGTGATCATGTACCTTGAAAAAGAGAGAAGGATGCACACAAGAGAAAAAGAGAAAGAGAGATGACTAAATAGATCAATGCAGTACACACACAATCGATGAGGTACACAGTCAGGGCAACCGTAATCTCATACATCTCCTGATAGGCTAAAGTGAATTACTGTTGTCTGCAATGTGACAGCACGGCCTACATCTACACAAGTGTTCATTATTTACTTGTTGATTGATTCAACAACAATGTTCATCCTCTGTTGCTTGGACCTCTCTCTCTCTCTCTCTCTCTCTCTCTCTCTCTCTCTATATATATATATATATATCTGTTGTCAGAGCATAAAACATTCAGAAGGATTGATGAAACCAACAAGTAAAGCATGGTGCCATCAAATGATCTTACCAGGGCCTTTTGGATACTTTGCATTTTAATTAGGAATGCTATAGGTTTGTTCCAACAGACCAGTGGTTCTCAACCTGTGAGTCCCCAGATGTTTTGACCTTCAACTCCCAGAAATCCTAACAGCTGGTAAACTGGCTGGGGTTTCTGGGAGTTGCAGGCCAAAACACCTGGGGACTCACAGGTTGAGAACCACTGCAACAGACAAATGTCAATTAAAGAAGAGGACTATATCTTGGTTAGTTTTCTGTTCTAGCTTTGTAATTTGATACTTTAAATGGTTTGGGGAGAGAAGCTAACCACATTGGTGTAGATGAAATGAGCTAGCAATGCATATATTCTGGACAAAATGGGAAGTTCCTCAAACAGTAATTATAGTTCCAAGCACAATGGTAACTGATTACTGATAAAGTGCTAATTTTTAGAATTTTTCTCTCATTATTTAAAAGTAGCCAAGATGCGTGAAAACATGTATCACAATGTGATCTTCCAGATTGCTGTTTTGAGGAAGGAAGCACACCTGTGTAAAAAGTCCACATATACCCTGTAACTAGAAAGGAAACACAGAAACAAAAAGGGCCATGTTTATACTGCAAGAAGTAAACCATCCTTACTTGTGTTAACATCATAACCTAACTCAGTTAAGGTCTTCCTTATTGCATAAGGAACCAATTATAACTTGCAAGAGGGAGGGAAGGAAGATAAAGAGAGAACTATTGATCCAAAGTAAAGGCATCACTCAGATACATAGGATTAGACTGCAAGGACTTTGGGTTTAAGCCAGGGTCAACAAATATTGAAACACTTATGAGAAAAAGAAGAATTTCCGCCAGGCAAGATTATACGAGTTTCTGTTGGTCCCTTGTGCTCTGCTCAGCACTATTATACCACTTCCACAAATAAAAAATACATTGTTCTACCTGTATGTAATGCACAATTCTGTTGGGTAATTCGTACAATGCTATACCCTTGAACTGCAAAATCCATATTCCAGCTCAGACCAATTGCTTTCCTGTTCTGCTACAAAACAATGATATATCAGTTTCACCAGTGCCACCATATCCTTTCCTACCAAGACTCCTCCATTTTAGTCATTTAAACAGTGGAAGCAGCTTTATAATGAAAAGTACCTGGCAAGTATTCAGAGGACACTCCCATGGCCTCCTTCTGAAACATTTCTGGTAGAAGGATTTGCTGCGGGACCATCTACAGTGCTGAAAATGCCAGTGTCACAGACAGCAGTTTCTGAAAGATGTTGGGCTTCTGAACTCCTGACTTTGACTTTATGATTCTGGACTTCAAGGAAAGCACATCCCTGCTCTGTGACATGAACATCAAAAACTGTCAGAATGAAACAAACCAGAGCAAGAGGCCAGAGCTCTTGAGCTTGCATGGTTTCAGGCTTGGCAGTATACATATTGCATGGGCCTGCTCATATAAAGAGAAAGAATAAGAACTAGGCTGCAGGTTTCGAGGTTTATGACTCCAGAAGAGTTCTGCTATTCTCTTTGCTACCTAACCTTTCATCAGTCTCAGCACACTTAAGTATAGCATCTACACAAATGATCCCTGCTTCCTGAAGAATGATATATCATTGGATTTCTATTATCCTGCCTTCTAATTCGGGGTTGTGTAAAATATAGATATTAGCTCATGTGCTGTCCACATAGCTCTAATAATGAGCCATGAAAAAAACCGAAGTTGTGTTTAAATAGCTCTAATGTACACATCCTATTAAGGCAGTGGCAGCTGTTGGCTTCCATGTCACTGAGTACTTGTCTATCTCACTGCATGGGCATCTCTGGTGATGTCAGTACTGGGCAGTCATGGTAGGCAGGATTCTCACATAACTTTGCAGCCATCTGGCATGAGTGATGATGACTAGGAAGATAAGGGCTGAATTTGTTTTGGCCCAACTGGAGTATGTAGACTCTGCCCCACTGTTGCAGGTCCGGCACAGAGTGTGTACACATCTCCAGTGCTTCTATGCCAGTGTAGAGATGCCCTTGGGTTAGTTTCAGCCTGAGCTTGAAGGGAGCTCTCCAAGGTTGTGAAGATATATGGGGGATAGGTGTCCTCTGCAGGTATCTTTTAAAATGCAGATTAATTCTGAAAGGGATTCAATGCTCTAATGGCAAGAAATCACCAATCACCAGGACATTGGAGGCCCCTAAAAGATTAAAAACAGAAGAAAATCCTGTTTCTTCCTGCTAGAGCATGGTTTATATAAGTGTTGCATGCCACTAAAAGCGAATTTGACAGATTTTGTGAACCTGAGGAACAACCTTGTATGCTAAACAATATTTTTTCTCTAAGTGAAACTGTTTTATTTTGTATTGGAATAATCATGTTGTATTCACTAGATGAGATAAATTTGTTTCTCAATATGATAAGAAGACAGAAGAAAATTGCTTTACTACATGGATTTTCAAAGCATGATATCAGGGTGGAGGAGGCACATTTCAGGACATGGTGTGGGACTGTGCAATGGGCCTGGAATAGGATGAAGGCTAGCTGGGAAAACTTCCCTTCAGGCTACAGATCCACATTAGCAAGCTAGAGATAGAGAATTAATCTTAGGCATTCACACAGTTTCTCAGTAGCAATGAGAGAAACAAGAAGTTGGAGACTCAGAGGAAATAAGTAAAGGAATCCAGACTGCTTCCCGCCCCCACTCTCTTAAATTTAATCAAGTGGTAAAAACTGCCGGAGGCTCCTTTGATACGAGTTTGTTTGTTCTTTTCAATACACAGTTTAAATTAAACTTTAATAATGAGAGGCGATCATCTAATGGTTGCTGCAAAGTCGAGAGACAATTCTCATACAATGCACACATGTGTCTGGTTGCCTGCAGCATGCAGAAAAAAATAAGCTTTACTACCTGGGGACAAAGAGGGCATGTGAGTTCCCCACAAGAGAGCGGGTGAGTTCAATATCTGAACTCTTGATGTTGGCACAGTGGTTGCTTATGTAGCAGCTGTGTGCCAGGAGGGTCCCAAGTACAGAAGAGGATCCTAAACTTGTTCTAGGCACCAAGAGTGACAGCAATAGTGTATGAGAGGTGTCAGCAGCTGCACATCACTCCAAAAATACTGTCTTGTTACAAATGCCCTATTAATCAGGATTCTTTGCTGTTGAAGGATATGAGAGCGGGCCTTATCTGTTCTGGTACCCCAGTAATACAATCTATCCCCACCCCTGAGGCTTGATGAATGACACTATGTTCTTTTCAATGCCACGCAAAAACTTGGCTGTTTACAAAAGACTTTGGAACCTGATCTCTTTGGATAGAGGTCAGGATATAGGTATTTTGAAAATGACAAAAATAAAATAATAACACTACAACAGAAACAAGAACAAGATTGCATAATTAATGTGCTGTAGTATTAAGTGTCATGGCTCAATGCTATGGAATCCTGAGATTTGTAATTTGGTGAAGCACCAGCACAATGGCAGAAAAGGCAAGACCTTGCAAAGCTACAACTCCCAGGATCTCATAGCATTGTGTCTTGACCTACCCACAGAATGATAGCAAAAGGATATGAGTCTAACCTCTTTGGGATGGAGGTTTCAGAACAGTGGTTCTCAACCTGTGGGTCCCCAGATGTTTTGACCTTCAACTCCCAAAAATCCTAACAGCTGGTTAACTGGCTGGGATTTCTGGGACCTGTAAGCCAAAACACCTGGGGACCCACAGGTTGAGAACCACTGTTCTAGAGCCTGGGAGCAGCCACTGAAAATGCACTCTTCTGGGTTCCTACTATATGTACCTGTGAGAAATGTGAGACAGAAGAGGAGCCTCCACAGGTTATCTCAAAAACATGAACAGGTTTTAATACAAAAAAGGTGACTTAATCCTGGCTCTTTCATACAAATCCCCAATTCTATTAGCTCTGCAGAACATGAAGTGTATATAGAGGTCTACCATATTTCTCTATGTATTGTCAAAGTCACGAACTAACTATATAATATGACAACACATCCTGATTCTGAAGTAATATCAAGGAGAAAATGATGCAAAAGGAAATAGCATAGTGGGCAGACTGGAATGAAAGCATGTGGCTTCTATGGAAATAATGATACAAGTAAAGTCAGATGCCATTATTCAAAATAAAAGGGCATCCTTAAATGTGTGTGCATCAGTGTGTGTGTGTGTGTGTGTGTGTGTGAGAGAGAGAGAGAGACTGAGTTTTTCCTTTCCTAAAAGAGACTTCCCCATTCCTAATTCTGAATACTATTCAAGGCTTTCAGTTCCAAAGTCAATGTCAGCATGACTAAACTCAGCCATAGAAGCTGATGTCAAAACTCATTCTGCTATTTCTCCAGCTCATATCTAATCTTCCCTCCTCCTTACTTTTGCAGCCAGTATTTATATGCCTAAGCCCCTTCATTTATGTACAACTTTCTCCTCCTGCCCTTTGCACACTGTACTTGATGTCTGGGAAAACATTGTTCATTGCTAAACCCAGAGCTTTTCCACCAACCCAGACCTACAAACCAGGATAAAATGATAATTTCCAGTTCTAATTTGCAATGCTTATAAACTGGCAACATGTGATTTCCTGAACACCAGGGAGTTAGTAATAAAGCAGGAGATATGGAGGAAGTGTGGGGAGAGGAAGGA